CTTCCAATTGCATTTAATATCTTATTTTTCTGATTTCTACAAAATTTATGCTGGGGAATGAGGTATAGTTTTAATTTGGCCATTGTTTCATTATTTAATAAACATTCTGAAAACTAGATGCTGTCGGGACAAGAGCAATGTATTCCTCAGACAGGCCAGTCACCCCCTCCATCTTAAACCCGTACCTCCCCCACTGCCCCACACACACTCACTCACTCTTCCCACCTCTCCAAGAAATCTTTATCAGCCTGACTTTATCGGACTTGTCTTAATGTAATCAGGTTCATTACTCCCCCCCCCCAGGTCTGTCTGTGGCTGTCCTTTCATGTGCCACCGCTAAGTGACACTGCTATAGTTTTACCGTGATTTGTCTCAAGGCGAAATATGTCCCAGATCTTTACCTGCGCAACGTTCCTGGAAAGATGAAAAAAGATCCACTAAATACTTTTAGAGTTACTGGGTTCACAAGATCAAGCGTCTTCTATAGCAGCCCTTTCCTTCCTTTGCTACCACTTAGTGCTGCTGCTTCAGTTTTGGTGCGATTTTCAGTCCAAATGACATCTGGTGTAGATCTTCATCCATATAATGTTTTTGGATTTTTGAATTGAAATAGTGTCTCTCAGTTGAAGTCCTTCTCAGAGATGTACAGGTGTCCTGTTCGCAGACGCAGCTCCCTTCTGGAGCTGCTTTCATATGAGTAACCTGTGTGTTTTATCACAGCTACAGAGCTGAGCGCAGACATTTCAGTGTTGCTTTGACCCAGAGGGCTCTAGCCCCATCGTCACCATGGAAACGATACCCACAGCTGCACTCTGCAGATGTTCAACGAGAACAAAGCTGCCAAAATACCATCAGCGTGTGACAGACTATCTGTCAGCCGTTACTAGACGAAATCTGACGTTGTATAAGAGACAAAGTCCACAGTCAAATAATTTAAAAGGCCCTGATTTGCTTCTAAGCAGTGGGGTGGACAGGTGGGGTCTCCTTATTTAGAGAAGCCTGTGATTGTCTGAGAAAAGCAGGTGTGGATCTTACCCAGACATGCTGATGGGCTCCACACTACACTGTCTGTAGAATCAGCAGTAAACTGCTTCATCTTTTAGATAGGTCACAACTTTTTCAGGTCCAAACCACTTTGCATCCACGGCCCTCTGGACCAATCTACCCCCAGAACCCCACACACAAGGGTACAAGAAAGGCCACCAGACCCACAGAGATTGTATCCGGCATGTTAGCAGCTCTTGTCTTTTGCTGCATTGTCCATGCTGTTTCCTCTGTGCACTGCAGTTTACACCAATCCTGCAGTACTGCCCAGGATTTAGGATTTATGCAAGAGAACAGCTCTGAATATAAAATGCCTATTACTTCGAACTGTAACAGACTTCAGCATCAGTATCTCCTTTTGTGACTTATACCATACAGACTCATGCCATACTGCGTACTTCTCAAATGTAGCTTTAAAAAAATAAAACACATGCCTTGAATTCTATAGCTTTCTAATACTTAAAATCACTTTAAAATGTTTTTCAGCCTCACACTCCAAGTACTGAATAATTTAATGTTTTTACTGTTCTTATGTGTATAGTGTTTAGCCTCTTCCAAATATGTCTGAGAATTATTGTGTTTACATACATTACATCAAACATAACTGCAATATTACAAAAAAATGAAATAAGAATACTGATGATCATGTCATTAATTATTACCCAAAAATAACACAGGTCTTTTTGAATGCGGAATGTTTTTATCAGTGATGTATGAGTCCAGGCCAAGTCAATGCTATATCTTTAATAAACCGAGTCCGAGTCAAGACTAAGTCTGATGGGGGAGGGGTGAGTCTGAGACAAGGCTGAGTCCATTACTGGAGCTGGGAAACTGAGTCTGAGTCCAAATCTGAGTCCAGAAAAACAGAAATTCAAATCTAGATCATAAATCTGAATTCAAAACTATAAGCTGAAAGTTAAACAAATGCCTCAATTTTTTACATTTAAATTATTTATTTAAAATGACCACCAACTAAGACACAATTATTTTAATCTAAGAAATAGATGATTTATCAAACACAGAGGTAACAGAAACCCACCTCCCTAGCTGCATCCTGTAGTAATTATTAATTTCTTTGTAACATGTCAGCATCCTGCTGAACACGTTTAAAATCCGTTCCGGAATCTTGTAATTTCCTCAAAAGTAAACAATGCGAACACGCGATGTTCAGTGGCAAACCTGCTGTGTAAACAATATGTATAATATCTATGCTGACTGGGACTCTCCAAATTACAACAATGAAACATCGCTTTTGAGAAACACAAGAGCTCCGAGCATCTTATAGCTTACATGTGTGCAGTGGGGGCTCCTGTGTCTGAAAAAAATCCAGTCTGATTCCCACCCCCAGCACCCCCACCATTAGACCGCTGAGACCTTTAAACATGTCTACTCCAGGGGTGCTGAACACTGGCCCTGTAATCTGAACCCAAACTTCACTCTCTCTAGCGTCTCTCCAGAGACAAAGGTGGAAGATGGTGGGGGGGGGGGGATTCGGACACTGGGATTAATAAAATGCAATAATGATTTAATACACAAACTAGATGTGGTGCTGTTGGGTACAGCATTGTGCCCCTGGACAGTCATGTCATTTGGTCTGGGTATCTTGTCCCACACCAATTTGTACAATTTCTAGTAGAACTGGATGGATCACCTAGAAATGTGAAGGTTAATGTTTTGACCAGAATGATGCGATATGTAGATCTGAAGTTGCTTATTAATTTCCTGCACATTCCATTTGGCAATTTGCGGAATCTTTCTCCACCAATTTGATGGTTATTTGTATTCTTTTGTGTATGTTTATTATTCATGTATGAAAATGTCATTTATATCATTTATATGTTTTATATGTTTAAATATTCCGCGATGGGTTGGCGCCCCTTCTCGCGTTGTTCCCTGCCTTGTGTCCGTAGATTGCAGGGTAGGCTCTGGGTGCCCGTGACTCTAAATAGGACAGGCAGGTACAGAATGGATGGATATTTTGAAGTATGTATATTCTGTTTATTTCTCTTTTACAATATAACCAAAAATTCCTGTGACATAAATGGAGGCCCCCTGGTGGGACATGGAGGAATTGCAGGGTCCTCTACAGGTGAGGCTAGAAAAAACCAGGCCAGAGCCCTAGACATTTTGGGGTTTCCCCTCATTTAACACACCTGATCTCCTTGCACCTCCTTGAGCTGAATCATTTGTGGTAGAACAGGGAAAGAACTAAGCTACACAGGGCTCCGCCCCCCCAGGCCTGGAGTTTGACACCCCCTGGTGTAGGGGGTTTGAGTGGGAGGGAGATCTATTTTGAAACAGCAACCTTCATCGCCATCAGTGTTGCACCCTTTTGCTCTGAATCATATTTAGCAATCTATACAATGGGACATTTAGAAGAATTAGGTTTTAAAAAGAATATTCTCATGGGAGCAGCCTTCCAGGAGAGCAGTGCCTTTTGGGTTAAAGCTGTACACCAAATAACTCGATGAACTACTTCAGAAGGATGAATATTAACTGTCCCCCGCCCCCCAACTGGTGACGAATGAGCGTGAGGAAGCTCATTTGCATATGTGTGTATCACACTGTACCATCACCCCCTGTGAGCTGTCTGGATCTCTCACGGTCTTTGGATGTGTGATGAGCCAATCGGAAGGAAGCAGGTGGACTTCACCCCCCATCCATCCCCCGCATCCACCCCATCCCTGCCACTGCCCACGTCTGTCAGAGCAATTTGAAATGGCTGCTGCAGCACCGGGGCTCATCGAGCAGCAGGTCTAGTCATCTGTGAAAGAAAAATGCAGAGGAGGCCAGTCTTTGATGTGCCTGGCACGACATGGCACTCTTTTCGGGGTGGGGGGGGGGGTCATGTGGTTTTCTACCTGCCACAAATCATTACCACGTTGTCATCAGAAAGAGCATGAAGGACACCTGTCACACTGCCGACTTGCCTGGAATTCAGAGCCAGTACATCAGCTGGAGTGGTCCTGGATGCTCAGACGATACACCACTGAAACCAGCTTGTGGGTATTTATCAGGTCAAATCTCAGCTGCCCCTGACAGTAAATGGCATTGTGCCGAGCTTCTGCTTACAAAGGAGAGCGAGCAGCCAGACGCGGCTTTGTAAACACTCACTTTAAAAGTACTGGCCGTTGGTGGGGGGGAATTAGCCAAGCCTCTGTCATTTACACTGGTGCTGAGGGTTTAAGCGGAGTACGTCCTGTACAGTGTCTTTGGCGAAGGAGCTGGCGGCGTGTCACCCTGCCTGCAGTTCTTAGGAGCAATTTGATTGACAGCTTGTCTTACGTTATTCTGCATTTTAATGTGACACTGCCAGGACCAGGCAGAGACATTTCCCTGCCATTGGCCAGGTGCTTTCAGCTGCAGTGGGATTCTCTATATTCCAGGTTTCGGGCATAATCAGACTTCACCACCCCCAACAAAAGGATGAGGGCCTGAAGTCTACACACATCTCAAATGAGGACCATCCTGACATGTACAAGAGTGACCAGGCATTAACATCCCAAAACAACCCCTTTTAAATACTGGGCTCTGACCTGAGGGTTTGCATTCACGGTGGCGCTGCAGTGAAGGCTTGTGGGCAATAGTGTAAATCCTGGTGGTGTGTATGATGACATCTAAGGCCAGGTGCCAAAACATCAACATTTTGAAGTTTGAGTTTTTCATCGTACCATCATCTTAATGATGCTCAGACAGACACACACCTTTTAGTGCAGGGAAGGGCTTTGATTGAAATCACACAGAATGCCCCCCTTGGCGCTATTCAGCTTGGTCTGGATTCAGCCCGTGCCTGACTGATCAGCTTAAGGACAACTTGTCCTCCTGCCAACGTCACTGCCAATCAGAAGTGACGTTTGCAGTGACTGATGGATCCAAATGATGTTGGAAGCCCCACTGTAGCTGTCCAAAAGTCTGCTTGTCTGTGGGTTTTAATATATGTAAATAATCTACATAATATGATAATATCATACAAAGCAAGCTGGACTCACTGAAGCATTCCAGACTAGGTAGCTTACTGAAGAGTTTAACTGCACCATTCTCATACAATCTCCAGGTTTGGCGTGCGGCTATTTGTAGGTGGAAAGCACAGAGCGTCGCGTGGAATAGTAAGTTTCCCTAAGTTATTCAGTACTGTAACCTGTGTATTGGCGATCAGAAAGCGTCAGAGGTCTGCAGCTAAATTATGCAAACACGCGGGTTTTTAACATGAAATTGAGCGTTTCGTATTGTAATGCAGGGAATAAGCGGCGAGAGAGGCGCCGCTGCAGATGTGGCTCCCCGGCAGATGCGCTGTCGTGCTTCATGCGTCAGGCGGCGCGTCAGTGCGCAGCCGCCGCGGCACCGAGCGCAGAAAGCCGGAGCACAGGCGCCTGGCGAACATGGCACTCGACAATTTCCTTTTCGCGCAGTGCATCCTCTACTTCCTGGCGTTCGTCTTCGGCTTCATCGCCGTGGTTCCTCTGTCGGAAAACGACGATGACTTCCAGGGTAAATGCCTGCTCTTTACTCGGGGCATGTGGCAGAACGAGAACATCACAGTGGCGAAGCAGCGCTTCATGGTGGATGAGTGGGGACCCGAGTCCTCCTGCAGCTTCATCACCTGGGTCGGGATCGCGTCCCTCATACTGTCCGCAGTACAGGCGTGGCGGCTGCTCTTCTTCCTCTGCAAAGGCCACGACGAGTGAGTGTCCGCATTGCTGTGTGTTTGCTTGGCTCTTTGTGTCGTTTGCTATATGTTTATTATTATAGCGGAAAAAAATCACCTGCACTCAACGTCCTGCACCAAGCCGCATAGCGGTGCAATTTTATATTTGGGCAATTTTAAAAGTACTAATGTTATAATGTACAGAATCTTTTCTGAGCTCCCGAATCTCCACACTCCTCACCGCTGCATCATTGATCCAACCGGTCTGGCTTTAGGGTAGCTCTCATAATCAATGTGAAGTATTTGATTTAAGGAGTACTTTTCAGCATGAGCAAACGCATCGTTAGGGGTTCTGTCATGATGGAAGTGGGGGGGTTGCATGCCGATTCGTCCTGGACGTAACAGGCATTTATTAATCAGCGCTACAGAGGATGCCGAATGAAGGCATCATCGAGGGGGAATACAGCTTTCTGCATCTCCTGCCTCCCTGCCGGTCGGCTTCGCTGCGCAAAGCCGCAAGGAAAAACATTCAGTGCCGTCGGGGTCACTGAAGACCGTTTGTCCTCAATCGGATGTGCGAGAAAGTGTGTGTAGGTGTGCGAGACTCCGAACCTGCTTCCCCATACGTGGGCGAGGTGCGAGAGTCAGTGATTAAAACGCACGAAGTGTAGGAGGAACCTCCCCCCCTCCCCCCAGTACAGCAGTTCCACCGATAAACCAGAGAAGGACATTGTGCTGTTTCCATGTGCCTGTGAAATTCTACATGATCGTCTAATGCTGTCCACTTATCGGCAGTACGGTATTACCTACCAGGTGTTGACATATCAAAATAAGTGTAATGGAGTCTTCATGTAGCCTCTTCATTCATTTGTTTTTAAGTGAGGAAATGCAGGACAGTTTTAATGGAGTCGCTCGGGGTACCAGAAACTGCCAGCATCACTGGCTTTTTTCTGTACTGCGATGCCTCATTAATGCACACGCCTCTGCTTCCTGACAGCGTGTTCATACTACTGCCTTCTGTAATGAGGACAGAGACGGAATGAAGAAATTAAACAGAAATAGTGAATCTTTCATACTTATCTGGACTGGAACTTGGAATCAGCTCTCTCTCTCTCTCTCTCTCCCCGTTTTCCTCCACCAGCTCCATCTTCAACGCCTTCCTGAACCTCCTGGTCAGCTCGCTGGTGGTCTTCGTAGTCTTCGTGGCCTGCACCATCATCAGTGTGGGCTTCAACCTCTGGTGTGATGCCATCACGGAGAGTGGCAGTATGATCAGCAGGTAGGGAAGGTACTTTGCTGCTTATACAGAGGTGGCTGCCTTCTGGAATAGCAGTGAGGCTCCATACAGCTCTTCAGCACTGGGGTCATGGGTCTCTTCTTCACTCCCGTTTAACTTTAACACGAGTCTGGCTGCCTGTAAAGAGCCAGTGCGCTGGCCTTGGTGAGATCGTCCTTGAGGCTAACAGTTTGTTACACAGCCTGCTTACATGCTCAGTCATAGCCGCAGAACCTCCGGCAGAATGTTTTGTGGAGGCGGCGGCTGAGTCCACAGGAGCGGCGCAGCTGAAATAACCTGACCCCCCCCCCCCCATCTCCAGCTGCGAGGACCTGCAGGACACCGACCTGGAGCTCGGCCTGGACAACTCCTCATTCTACGACCAGTTTGCCATCGCGCAGGTGAGGTCATACGAACAACAGGCTCCCGCCAGGATGCAGATCAGACACACGCAGACTCGGTTCACGCGTGCACCCTGCTGCCCTTTAAATTACCCCCCCGGGCAGCTGCCCTGCACACTCATCCTGCCCTGTATCCACTGAAGCCTGTACAGGCTGGATTATTAATTGCCTTATTACAGTGAGGGTGTAATGCACTCAGAGTCTCTGAAGCGGAGATTGAATCTCATCAGACTCAAGCCACATGAAGAGTGATTATTCGCCCATTACAGCTGACATCCATTATTGCAGCTGATGCATCATGGGTAATATGCGGAGTGGCAGAGATGTCCCATAGACGTGACTGTGGGCTGCTCTGTGTCTTGCAGTTTGGCCTCTGGGCGGCCTGGCTGACCTGGCTGGGCATCGCGGTGCTGGCCTTCCTCAAGGTCTACCACAACTACCGGCAGGAGGACCTGCTGGACAGCCTGGTGCGCGAGAAGGAGCTGCTCCTGGGCCGCGGCGCCCGCCGCTTCTCCGACGCCGAGGACAGAAGCGCAATGATCTAGGCTGTGCACAGGGAGCTCGCGTTGCTTACAAACTTCCTGTGACAGCTGACCGTCAGGCTGGTGGGCGGGGTCGGGACCCGGGTACATCTGTCATTGGATCATGTCACATGACCACACCATACAGCCCCCCCCCCCCCTCAGGAGACACACGAAAGGGCTAAACAGTGACCCCCAGTCGCTATTCCTCATCTTGTGGGTCAGCTTTCCCACAGATACCCCCCCCCCCCCCCATGTCCCTGCCCATGAACCGAGTTCCAGTCCTACAGCACACAACATAGAGGGGGAAGCCAATCAGCCATATTCCGGGTCGACCCCCCAAGGTTGAATGTGGAGTCTGGGTGGTGGAAGTTTGTAAACAACGCCCCCCCCCCACCCCCCTCTTTGGAGATGGGCATTCGTTGCTCGTAGGCTCCACCTAGTGGAGCACGTGGCATGCAGCAGCAAGGTGTGTGTAGTGCCTGCTTCAGCTGTCAGTGGCGTGTAAAAAGCCGTACAAACACATGTGGTTTTAGCTCCTGTCACATGTGTGTCTGTATGAATCTTTTGGCGTGATTAGTGCTGTTTAATCCCATCTCAGGTCCCAGCTCCTATTGGCCGGCCTGAGCTCTCTCCCAGTATCAGCAGGCTGTGATGGTGGTGACATTTCTGGCTTTCCTTACTGACCAGCATCCCTGTGGGCACCAGTCAGCAGAAGCCATTCAGTAAGACGAAGCCCAGGCCTTTTCTGCTTGACGGTCTACTGGCTGCATCTCTAACCCCGCCCCCATCCTGCTACGCTTTCTGCATCTGTCATAAGGTTGTGCCCCCCCCCCACCCCCCATGCAAACCATGCTGTGCATATGCACACACATGCACACACACAAAACACACTGTGCTATCTGATGTGTGTTTGCAATGCCGGTCCTTTATTGAAAATGATACAGACAAAAAAAAATCATAGGGGGCGGGCGGGCGGGCGGGCGGGGGGGGGGTGTGTAAGGGTAGCTGACGAAAGGCACTTCTTTGGAAAGTGGCTGCGTACATCCCGTGAGCAGTGCCACAGACACCGGGCGTGGAGGAGCAGGGTGCCGCCTGAACCGGCGGCAAGCAAGAGGCAGGGAAGCGGCCAGGTGGGCGGGCACTGGCGGGGCACTGGCGGGGCACTGGCGGGGCACTGGCAGAGCACCCGGGACGCGCCGCTGTCGCGTATTGCTTTGAATTAAAGGACAAAGGCTCCCTACTACACTGTACCAGTCTGTTCCCTGAAACCCGCGATGACATTTATCAAAATTTACATGTATTATTGCTCTTAAATTAAAGTCGTACATGGCTGTAAACCAAAGTGCCTCTCGGTGTCTGAATGCTTCCAAGTCTGTCAACAGCAGTCGGTCTTTGAGGACACGAACACTGATAGAGACGCAAGCGTGAGTGGGTGTCGTCACGCTACGGTACCGCGTGTGCAGTGTGTGCCCTCCTGCATGTGACACGCTTCGCTGCGTCAGGTTAACAATGAGGACACACACCTCAGCTACACATGTAACCGGTACCTGTGTCACACAGGTATTTGGGCCTTTTGTAGTGTACAAGCTGTCAAGGTACTGAAAGGATGTTTGCTACAGACGACAGGATGTCACATGCCGGTAAACTGGAGTATGACATTTTCTTGTGTTGCTCTTACTGTGCTTTAAATGATCCAGATATGATAATTTCACAGCAGTTCACCAGTCCCAAATATACCATTAACAGTGTCTGATAATTAGATTAAAACCTGAATATCAGAGAAATAATAAAAAAAAAAACACAGTGAAGTTTATACAAAAGGCTGCAAATCAAAAGTGGTGGGATGTGCACTGGAACACTGCAGATAATACACACTATGTACGTACCTTCATGTTGGGTGTCGTTCCAATAACTAGACGTACGAAGAACAAAATCGCTAAATGGCTTTCGATTGGCCCGGCTCTTTGCTTACATACCCGCAGGCCGCGTACCACGAATAAATATTTTTTGCATGCTGGCCGCTGGGAATCATGAATCAGCTGCTAAAATCGAGGTACCGTCAAAGTGGGAGGGGTCTAGACTCTGTGAGCAGATCACGCTGTCGCCCATAGTGACGGACCCACTGAAGTTTAGCTCGCCTTGTGCCTGTTTCCATTACCGAAACGTGATGTTTGTGCTTGTTTCAATTTGTCCTGACGGTGACACGGCCTCTCAAAGATTTATGGGTTTTCTGTTTTCCTAAATCCACAACATAGCTACTTTATGCCATAACATGTGTTGGAAACTGGATGTTCCGGAAGCGTGAGTCGATACATATAGAGTAGTGCGCTGGATCTGTAAAATATTTACACGAAATGCAATGCAAGCGAATGAATCTTTAGTAACATGCGTAAGCCTTTAAATGCCACAGTTTCTAGCTCTCTAAAAACTTAAACATGACATATCCACAGCTAAAATATTTACACATCCATAACAGCTACATAATTCTGAGAATACGCTTCTGTTTCTCTACATGTAGTTGCAAGGGAACACAGCTTCAGGCCCTTATGACGCCCGTCACAGCACCTCCCGCTCATACTGTATGTGAACGGCCTGCATGTGAGGCTCATGCCCTCTGCAGACTTTGGTTGAGCGGCGGGCAGGGAGTGGGCTGAGCTCTGGGGTGCCCCCTCCTGGTGGATCAGGGTCATTGCATGGTGAGCCAGACCCAGCAGCCCCAAACCAGCTGCTTCACCTGCAGGACGCAGACGGCCAGGATGGCCTCCAGCTCCTCGCAGGTTCGCAGCGGCCGCCGCCTGCCCATGCAATACAGCATCACGCCCAGTACGGAGAGCAGCAGGAAGAGGCAGGCCAGCGGCGCCAGGTGCGGGCGGCCAGGAGAAGCGTCATACCCTGTAAGTAAGAAAAACTCAGTAAGTGGGTGTCGCAGAGCGAGGCCCTCTGCTGGATGTTCGCACACAGCACAGCCACGCAGCCGTCGGCCAGCGGAATCCTGGACGCCGTGCACTGTTACACAGACCGAGAGGAGGCGCCGAGTCCTGGCACGGAATGGGGGGCGTGACTCATCTGCTATTCACACATAATGGCCCCCATTAAAGCGCCGAGCGCATGCATTCAGGTGAGGGGCAGTTAGACCCCGGGGGGCTGCTCTTCTCCTCCCAGCCTTATGGTGTTATCTGCTCCATTGTGAGGAAGGTTCCGGCACCTGATTACCTTTTTTATGATTTTATCTTTCACATCCATTCTTTTCCATCACACATTGGGGGGGTGGCTATTATGCCTTACGGTGTTTTTTTAATTATTAATCATGTGTCACATGACACAAGTCACATGTCCCACAAATGTACGTGTCACGCGTTGAGACTGCAGGTACACAGTTTTTCCACTTAATAATAATAAAAAAATTGGTTATTCCTATAAATCCTTAAATTCTACGCTACATGAGAAGGCTGTGGGCAGAGTTCCAGCACCAATCCGCGTAGAAAGCAATGCTTATACAGTCCACACAGTGTCACTAAGCCGAAGTGTGTAGTTGTCCTGCAGTGGTGATTTTAAATCACTAGGTGGCAGCACTAACAATATCTGGGTACCGTGGATAAGAGGCAGTGATTCTATGCACTTACACACAGCACTGTAATCAGGTTGGATAAAGAAGCCGACATGACCTGCTTGTGTGGCCTAGCAGGCTGCTGACCCTTGACCTTCGCCCCCTGACTTCCTGCCGGATCTTACCATGTACGATGTTCTCGGGCTCCCTGAAGCGAACCCGCCTCTCTGACCGCCGTCTGTGGGTGGCCTCGGAGTCGCTGCCACACAGGTTGGACCGTTTCAGGATGGAGGGTGGAAATTTGCAAGTGGTGATCTGGACCAGGGTTGGGGGGGGGGGTGGGGGAGACACACACATCAGATGTGATATAACATCGGGGGATTTTCAGAGCGGTTCAGTCAAAGGACAGATAGGCGTCAAGGCGAGCAGGAGGAGGACCTTCCGGGGGTAAATGCGCTTTACCAGAACTGGAGTGTGAGCGAACCCTCGGAGAATAAATTACCCACAGAGTTCTGTCACATATTCACAAGAGTGTTTTCGCCTTCCCTCCTTAAGAGATCACTGTGTCGTCGCTGCCCATCTCACACACGCCAGACGTGTCCCTCAGCGCTCAGCCTGGCCAGCAGTGCACGGCTCAGACGCTCCATTAAAAAATGGCATCATGGCATTGATACCCGTCGCTAAAAGTCAACGCTGAACTCAAAACTAACCTCCGCTTTCACAGCGTACAACACAGAAGTGATAACAGTGACATTTTCACCACTGAAGGCCGAGTCAGGTGCCGCAGCTCAGAGCTGGTGAGGCCACCGCACCTTTGTCATGGGCACTTCCGGTAGGGGGTGTGGCTCCTTCCTGTGATGATGTCGCACGTCGGAGCGCCGCTCTCTGTGACTGGAGGCCGTGCTGCGGGAGGCGTGGCTAAAGGCCTCGGTGGGGGTCATCGACTTCGACAGTGCCGTCACGCACTGGCCGAGTGAATCTGCAAACGGAACACAGGTAAGACACCTGTCTGGACACACCTCGCTGCTGGCGGAGGAGTGGGGCGGGGGGGGGGGGGTACAAGGTGACACCGAAAGCTACGCAGGAGCGGCTGCACACTCTGACCTCCGTATGAAGGGCAGCTCCGTTTCTAAGATAGTGATAAGGCTCCCAAAAACGCTGGCCTCGCCCGTCAGGCCGGGGACAGACGAGTGTGAAGTTCTCAGAGGCCCCTCTGACAGATGGCACATACCTCTGCTGGCACGGCCCCCGTCTTTTACCCAGCAGCCCCACTTAAGGCCCTGACCTGCTCTTAATCTTCAAAAGAAAGTCACGCTGGGAGGCAGCCGCAAGCTCAGGAACCGCGAGCATCTCGCCAGACGGGCTCGCAGAGCACTGCGCACGCAGCAAGACCACCGGGAAAAACAAACTCATTCCGTCCGGCTCGTTAGGGCTGGCGAGCCATGCTAATGTGGCTGCGTAAACGGAATACAAAGCCGGAACATACAGCGAGAGGGCCGCGCCACGCCTCCGGGGAGCTGCGAAATAGCTTTGCATGTGTAATGATACTTGTAGTTGAATTTAAGCAGCTCAGAATGGGGACTTAATGAGCTAAAAGTTCATTCCAAGATTTTCCTTTGAATTAAATGAGGCCCAGCTGTTTGCCTGCACGTACAGTCAAGAGGGTGGCACGCCTGTCTGCTAGGAGAGCAGGAAATCGTATGCTGGGCACGCTGGCAGCTGGCACCTGGGCACGGGGACCAGAGCGTCCTTCACCTGCCACGCACATGATGAGGCTCTCGTACTGGTGTTTGTGAGGCTTTTGTGACCTAGGTGCTTGGGGGATTTTTAATCCACAGTAACTGAAACAGCTTAAAATGTCTCACTGTAATCCAATTTCACGACCGAGTCATTTCAGCCATCCCAGTTGTACTAGGATACATTTTGACTCTCTCTAGGATCTCAGCTGGGAAGTTCCTGATTTTACGCTTTCACAAGATACATGGTGCTATTGTCCTGCATCCTATGGGAAGTGGCATGATCTTCCGAAATACCGTGAGGCCGCATTGCCTTGAGACTTGGAGTGTGACTGTGAGTATCTGAGTACTCAATCGTATTGATCTCATTGAAGGTGACAAGGGAGTATTTCTGTGTACCTGAATACTCGGTCTTCCCAATCTCAGCATAGACGGAGGCAAGCAGTTCCAGGCTCCTGGCGGTGATGGGGTGGTCATTGCCAAACGCTTTCTGACGGATTTTAGTGGCCTGAGACGGGGGTGGTGGGGGTAGGAGGGGTCAATCCAAGAACACTGTTTCCTCATTGGCTCGTTGAGCAATAATTTACATTTCAAGCTGCGTTCAACTCGATGATCATTTAAAAAGAAAAAAAAGGACAGAATTCAGCGATGGTGCAATGATACAACAAACACGGGCCATAGGTCACATAATGATTGTAACTGTTACAATATCTGCATATGGAAAACACTGAGGATATGAGAGGAGGCAGCGTCCACCTACCTTCCCACTGTACTCCAGAGCGAGGTGAGGCCTGAAATGAAAGGAGGATTGAGAGAACGTCACTCGTCACGCATCAGGGGTACGAGCCACATGTGGCAAGGACGTCCCCATGACCGTGCCCCCCCGCCGTCGAGCAAGGTCAGAGCTTCAAGGTGGTTCGCTGTGTAAGCCCATGTGACCGTGACCCCTCCCCCAGGTCCCCGTCGCCGAGCAGATGGACCCTCTCAGACCCCCCGCCAGCAGTAATTACCGCCCAATGAACACTCTGTTTGTGTGGGGGGGCCCATCAGCCCAATATAGTCCTCTGGATACACGGCGGCCTGCACAGGGAGCTCCGCCAGCTCATTAATCACCCCCCTTTTAATACTCCTGTTCTCCCCTTTCCCTTTCACCGCCCCCCCCTCAGGGTTACTCTCCTGCTGATTTTATTGCCGAATAATCAGATTCAGATTTGTTGGATGGGCTATGCAGCACTGGAGTCCGAGGCTTGGGACACGATTTATCAGGACAGTGACGTCACCCCATTCGAGATACACTGCAGGAAAAGCGTGTGCCGGCCTCATCACTGTAAATGAATGAGCCAGTGAAACAGGTCTGGGGTCCTGACCTGAGGTCCTGACTATCCCGGTGCACCGTTAGAGCGGCCCCAGAAACAGTCTGGTGAAGCCAGGTGTGTCTGCGGACCTCGCTAATCTGCGAGCCCGGCGGCCTTGATTGCACAGCCTGGCACAGGCTTCCTGGCACGGCCAGAGAGTCCTGATTATGGAGTCAGTGGAAATCTTCCCCCGCTGCCAAAAGCAGGCACAGTAATCCGGCAAGAAGGCGGAAGGGGGTCCGGTGCCACAGGTCGGGTTCCACCCTCCATCACGACGGCAGCCCCCCACCCCGGACTCATGCAGGAGAGGCAGAGCGTGTGGCACTGCCCCTCACCCCTATCATGCGCTCACTGCCATAACGTGCCCAGGGCATGGGCCGCTCTGCCACGGCACGGGTGCCAAACCCCGGAGCTCTGAATAAGTAATGTCCGGGTGTCGGATGAGGTTTTTAAGTATTTCTCTGGACACCTGATCGGCATCTTCCTGGTGCCCTGGCCACTGGAGGAGCGTCGCTGCGTCCCGCTGAAACATTTAACAGGCACTTCCTGCAGGCGCGGCGAGAAGCGGATATGAGCCTGGCTGCGGCCCGATGTTATCGGCGGTATCGGAGACGAGCGAGGGCAGCAGGGTGCAGCTGCCCCTGACCCCACGTGGCCCCAGCCAGGAGCAAAGAGCTCCTCCCGCTCCCATCCCGCTCCCATCCCGCTCCCCGGGCGTTCCGGGCCCAGTCGAGCGACCGTGGCTGGCACCTCACAAACGTGCCTCGGTCCCGCTCCAGACGTGGACCTCTAGGGGGTGCCGGAAATATGTATCATGAGGGCTCCTGCCTTTCTATGTCGCGAGGCAGAGCACAGGAGGACTGGGTGGAGCAGGACAAGCCCAACATCAGGGCTGCACAACACATCAGTCACCCTGGAGCTCGCAGCCATTTACGCCGAAGCCTGCAGATCCGGCAGCGCCGGGCAGGGAAACCGAGCCCAGGAGAAGATGTTCCGGAGACAGGTGAAACCCGAAACGCGTGATAAAAGCGCTGTTTCCATCTGTCTCTCAGGACCGGAATGACAAAGTGCTCGTCCTGCCCGTGGCTTCGGGTACGCCGATGGCCAACTTGGCTCACAGAGAGGGAATTTCCATTCTATTTTCGTAAATGCTGGGCCATGAAAAAGGTCAGCAGCTCAAACCCCCACCCCCGCATACAGAAGCATCACGTAGCACTAGACATTCATCACATTTATTTTAAATGCAAAGGAACAGAAATGAACAAAAAACTAAAATGAACTGTGAACCAAAAATGTTTTCAAATGGAAGCTCCAGAAATGAGAAAGCTAACAGTATGAGGTGTGTGACTCAGAGATCAGCAGAAGGAAGTCCTCCTTGGAGGTGTATTTCCCACTGCACTTCAGAAGCGTGCTGTGGTACTGGGAGGGGCACTCCCACTTGGAAAACCCCTAGTAAGCTCACCAGTGAAGCCCCAGTAACCGCACATGTAAAACTCTCCAAAACTCCCAGAATGCCAGTGCCATCCCTGTTGACCTTTGACACATGCCCCGTCCTCTCATTAACCCTGGCAGGCTGTGATAGGTCCAGCTGGTTAGAAACCTCAGCCTGAAACTGAGGGCTATTTAGTCAGGGAAGCATCAAAGTCAGATGCTTGATGGCTCAGGTCCTTCTATAGGCCAACCGGGAATGGATGCTGGTGCGGGGGCGGGGCATGGCGGCATGTGGGTGGGGCCTACCTTTTGCTCATGATGCACAGCTGGGCCAGTCTCTCATAGTCCTGTGCCTGGGAGGCCAGCTCCGACAGTTCCTCCTCGGGTCGGTCCCATGCAGCGGAACCCAGCGAAGCCGGCGAGTCCTGCGCACCTGCGACGGATATGGCCGTGTAATCAGAGCCCACAGACTGGACCGGGCGGGCGGGTCGGAGCTCCGAGGACCGAGGAAACCGGATCCTTGACGTGGGCACCAAGCCGCTTCTAGGGTGCCAGCAGGGAAAGCATGCAGGCTGGGCGGGTGAGGTGCCCCCATGCCCACACATCCTGTGCCACACAGTACGCAAAGCAGATTGTTCTCCTGAGCTTCCCCATGAGACACCATGTGATTCGGTCACATTACCTACCCTCCCCTAACAGGACAGAGGAGAAAGGGGACAGCGGGGGGAGAAGGTGGAGTGACGAGAAGGTGGGGGGGGGGGGGGGGGGGGGGGGGGGGGGGGGGACAAGTTAAGTGCTGATTCAGATGCATGGTGGTTGGTGGGGCTCTGAGAATCCCTTAATCAAATAAAGTACAGCAAGGCCATTTGTCTTGTGCGAATCCTGCCTCCTCCCTGCTCCATGCAGAGCGCTGGATGCTGCGTCAGCAGGCCCCCGCCACGGAGAACCGGCCGCGCTCCACCGGGCCCACCAGTCCGGTGACTCATCACCCCCCGGGCAGAGCTTTCGCGGTACATTATAGGGCTGCTGTGGTGCCTGGAGGCGCCAACGCATTTAAGCCCTTAACTGCTGTCTTGTCCACTCTCCCGTCACGTGACCTCAGCACCAACGGCTGGCTTGGTTTGGAATTTTGCGCAGGTCAATCGCAGCACACACACTGGGCTCGTTCTGAGAGTCCTAATGGTTCTGCCAAGGCCCACTTATTTAGAGACTGAGAAACTGAAAACTCAAAGAAGGAGCTCTCCTGTGTACAATGGCAGCAGCCGCCCCCACCCCCCGCCTCCCCATCCCCCCAGCCCAGAGGTAAACAGAGCCATAAGGCACATCTCAAGCTCGACAAGAAGGAAGCAGTTTGAGCACGCCATGAGACGAAGCGGTCTGAGGCGCTGCCCCGGAGGCCGGCCGCTCGGTCAACTTGCCTGCTGCCCCCTGGAGGGCGGTGAGCTCAATCAGCGCCACCTCGTAGAACATCTTCTCCGCCTGGATGAATTGCAGCGCCTTCACATCTGTTTATGACGGTCAAGGAGCAATTAAAAGTTGCTTGTAAGTCAGAAACAAGTACATGAGCCAGGTTTAGGAGATACAGAGCACATCCCTCCCATCCCTGTAACACAACACCTCTGGGTATATGAGGAGTGAACCAGATCGCTTCCAGGAAGGGAGAGGAGCCAGAGCAAACAGTTATGTTATCACTTCTGGATGGAGTTTCCGACCGCACGTGTGTTGGCTATGTGACAGACTGGTGATGCCCCGACTGTGTCTCTCAAACAATGACGTGGCCCAGAAAACACACAAACCCACAAGCGACTCTCTCCAGGAGACAAAGCAGGCAATCCTGGTTCCATCGTAGTCATATTCACCCATTTTTTTTTTGTAAACAGACACCACAAACAGACAACTATGGCAGTGCCTGATGATGCCTGTCAGTGTGTAAAATGCAGAGCCGCTCCTGCCGTCAGTGTCGAGGAGAACAGGCCGCTGGGACTACAGCAGCGGGACGGGCTGTTATCCACCTCTCCCACGACCCCAAAGGTCAGGGACAGAGCGTCCAATCAGGGACATGCAGAATGGGAAAGGTCTCCATCTCTCCGTCCATATCTGAGCTCATCTGTAAACAGGACTGAGTGGGATCTGCCTTTTAGTGAGACAATTCACAGATTTTCCGCTGTTGGATCGAGCAGGACACAGGGGAGTTTACTTTAACACTGGTCTTTGTAAGCACCATCCAAAAAGAGAACACTTTCTCAAAGTAAAGATGACATTTAATGACAGTAACAGGAATAATCAGAAAAAAGGATCAAGCTTTTAAAACAAAATTTAAAACGTTTTTTGGCAATGACCGTTTTTCAAAGGTGTTTTTTCCTGAAGTTCCCAGTGAAGGATTAACAGTGACGTCTGTTGTGGAGCGCCCCTTAATGGTCAGAAGCACCGCCTCACTGTTTCGAACCCCCAAGTTCAATAGGTGAAGGGGAGGAGCGCTGAAGAGGACAGCAGGCGTTTCTTGTTTTGCTCAGCATGCCGGCGCTTTGGAACGTCATTAGGGCGCTACGCAAAGCGGCCGTGTGCTGACAGTGAGCACTTTCAGGCACCGTGATTAAAATGACATCAATGACAATCCCAAAGCACTTTGCTCAAGCTGGGCTACAGTGGAGAAGCCAGGTGTTTCATTTGATTAAACTAACTTCATACAAGTGAGAGTTCGTCTGGCAGTTCACTTAAGGCAGTGCTTCTCAGACCTGGTCCTCGGGAGCCCCAGACAGTTCACGATTTTCTGGGGCTCCCGACGACCAGGTTAGGGCTTAGTTGAAGGTCTTCTGGGGAGCCAGCTAACACTAACGCCTGCTGATCCTCTGCTGGAAACCCTGCTATCCCATCTCAGCAGCAGGATTTGTCCCGAGTGTTTTTTTCACTGCCTCATAAATATGTAACCGCTCCAATAATGGGAGCAGGTACTGAGGTACCTTTGGTGGCCTTAGGGAGATACAGGAGACCCCCGAAGACAGCGACGGTTTCGCCTGCACACATTCTGCAGACTGATGTCCATTTACGGCTACAGACACGGGGGCTGAAGTGCTTTCACCTCCCCGTGTGCCTGTACTGTCACCCAGCGAGAGCCATCCCACCCCAGCACTGGTCTGTCGGGAGAGAGGCTGGCCCTCTTCAGCATGCACATCCCCCACCGACCCAGCGCAGATAAACCTGTCGCTAATTAGAATGTATGAAAAACTTCACAGAGGCTCAAAGTCGTCATGGTTAATCTCCCTAGCAGTAGCCTGAAGGAGATGAGCAGAAGAGAACGTGTGCTGCTTTACTCAGAACTCCAGTCACATGGCGCTGAGACCCACTATACCTGGCGGAAAGGGGGCCCATGATTATTCATTCCTATGTAATTCAGGACTTAGCATCTGATTTAAAGGGCCAGTAACCTAACATCACCTGGGCTGCATTGCTACATACACACTATCTATCTATCTATCTATCTATCCATCCATCCATCCATCCATCCATCCATCCATCCATCCATCCATCCATCCATCCATCCATCCATCCATCACCAAAGAATATAATCCTGGGATAGGAACTGGTGAACTTCTGATCACGAGCACAGCCTCTCCAAACACCATTCCCCAAGCATGCGTGCACACACATACACACACACACGCTTGTAATTATATCTTTGTGGGGACTCTCCATTCATTTCTATGGGAAAACTCTAATCCCAACAATGACAACCTTAACCCCTACCGAGCCCTAACCTTAACCATAAGGAACCAAACAAAATACAAGACTTCTGACTTTGCTAGTTTTTTGATTGCATTCACAGATTTTTTTAAAATACAGTTTCCCCTTGTGGGGACCGAAAAAATGGTAACCAGATAATAACATGTTCTTAATCACATTGTAGGGACATTTGGTCCCCACAATGTAATATATACATCTCACAGACAGATGGACCACACACACAGCTGACAGCAGCTTATACTTTTCTAAGAATGACTGCTTCACACACCAAATTGTTCTGCCCGTTTGCCTGTGGTGAGGCTGTGGGCTGTCGTTCCCAACTGCTTTCACCTCATTTCTGTGACCTTCAGGACGGGAGACCAGCCTCGCCGGACCTTCAGGACGGGAGACCAGCCTCGCCGGACCTTCAGGACGGGAGACCAGCCTCGCCGGACCTTCAGGACGGGGGCCAGCTGATGCTCCTTCCTCCCAGTGAGTTCCATGGTACCAACAGCCCCTGTGCTAACAGCTCTGGGCAAAATCGCCATCTCAGTGGGTAAGGCCGGCTGACCAATTGGAAGAGCCTGACTCAACACTTCTAAAACATCACCTTCAGCTGGCCTCAGCACAAAGAGTCTTCCTGGTGTGCAGATAATGCGAAAACGGGGGCGGAGCTCACCCCGGAAGGCCAGCACCTATGTGATCGGCACCTCCGCGGGCGTGGGAACCACAGAGCCGCTCGGAGCTCTCACAGGCTGACTGACCCCGTCCCCGACACCACAGAGCGCACGTCACGAAACAGGGGTAATCGGGGCCCCTGATGCATGCTATTACATGCAGGTGTAATCCGGGGCCCCTGATGCATGCTACTAGGCCACGATAGGCTCCAGGTGGAGCAGTGTGGCATGGCCTGAGTGTCTGGGCCGCAGCCATGCATTGGTGCCAGGCCGACGGCGCTCTGACGCGCAGGTCCGACCCCCCGGCGTGTAACACAGCCTCGTACCTGCAGGGTGACGGCACCCCCTGCATTCTCCGCTAAGCCTGCCGACTCTGCGGCTCCAGGGCCCAGCAGGATGCGCAGCAGGGCTGCTGTGAAAAGGATACAGTTCTTCTCCTCGATGAAAAGCTCTGCGATCTGTAAGAGGAAGGGGGGGGGGGGCATGTCACATAGGTGATTTAGGGGCTCCATGCCGGAGTTTCGCTTACGGCTGAAGGCACAGTGCCGACACTGGCATCCCGTGAGATTTCTCAGCGGAAAAGGGAACAGAGGCCGGCGTCCTTGCTAAGCTCAGCACAAGAGCTTCCCGACGGCAGCCCTCAGAACACTTTCCATCGCTGTTCCACTGTCCCTCCGGGGAGAATAAAATCCTCCCATTAGAGCTTCACCAAGGTGCCCCGTTTACACCTGAAAGCCCTGTCCGAGCTGTTCTGGGCTCAGCAGATACGGCGCATGCGGTCCTGGAGCAAGAGGCGTCAGGGACTCTGTGCTGTGTCAGGATCAGCTGCAGGCGGGCAGCCGGGCTAAAGATAGCCTTCCCGTTTACCTTAATGTTCGCAGCGCGGGTGCTCTCGTCTTCCCGTCGCCGCGCCTTTTATTGCGCCACAGGCCAAACGCATGTCATGCGACGCACTTCACGCATGGCCTATTTTAGGCTCTGCCGCTGCACTCCCGGCCCGCTCCCCGGCGGGCTCCACGATGCCACCAGTTTACGTGACGCTGACGTGTCCCCAGGCAGCTGGAGTGGCATGGAGACCAGGGAATGCAAACAGGATGTGTGTCCCGGGAGACCGTCCCCTGCAAGCGGGCCCGGGAGCCAGAGGAGACCAGACAAAAACAGCCCTCCCCACCACACTGTGTGTACAGAGACACTGACGTTTTCAATTCGGTCAGAACTTCATCATGAGAGCAGATCCCTTGTCAATCTGCGGTTCAGCGACGGGACATTAGAGCGCACAGTAAACACACGGCACTTCAGCGCTGGCTGCCAATAGCATCACATTATCATAATGACCTCAGCTAACGAATCTCTAATTTTAATTAGGCTACATCCTCATCTCAAGGTCATCTCAGGGAAAAAAGGATGAGAGGAGAAAAAACCATCAGGATGAAAACACAGGGAGCGTGACGGATGTCGAGCATTCGAAAGGTGACAGGTTTTATATAATAAAAGCAAACGTGTGACAGCAGATTCTGGTGCAATGAACGAGGACTCAAGAGTAAACCCACCAGTCCAGACACTCGTTCATCTCATCATTCACCCCTCATCCATCCCTCTATCTATCCATCCATCCACATCCCGAGCTGGGCGCGCGGCCCGCAGGCTCACCTGGTGCAGACAGTTGGGCAGCGAGGGGAAGCTGTGGACGTGGGGCAGCCCCAGCAGGCAGCTGAGGAAGCAGTGCAGCGCCGCCTGCGACTCGCCCTGCTGCTGGAGCCGGCCGCCCAGCTCGAAGAGACCCTCCCTCCCCCCGCTCAGCATGGCGAGCCCCCCATGGCGGCGCCCCGGCCGGGCAGGAAACGCCGCCGCGCCCACAGGCGAGAAACTGCAGGGAGTGCCGGAGAAAATGGCCCGGGAGATGGGCACGGAGAGCGGAGCGCGGGGCTGTCCCGGCCTTCAAGGGCAGGCTCCGGGAACACGGCCGTCTGGGGCTAGCCGTCCGGAAAAGGCAGCTCCATCCTCCCCTCTGCACGGCAGAGCCAGCCTGCCGGCAGGATGGTGGGGCCTGTCGATTGACAGGGATCTGGGCCAATCCCTGCACGAGACACATGCTGTACCGCCGCCCGCGTGAGCTGTCTCACGTGTGACAAATGGGAAGGCGCTCCACAGACGGCTTGGGAGGGAGGGGGAGCAGGGCTCCGTTTAAAGGCACAGGCGCCTGATTTAGGGAGAGCGCCGCTCTGCCTCTATCAGCATATGTTTAATGCTCCGGCTCCCTCTAATAATTTAACCGTGGGAGCGCCAGGGCTGCATGTGTGTGCTGCTCTCACTGCATGAATTATTAAAGGGAAACACGACTGCAGAGAGCTAACGTAATCCCCTCTTTATAGGGCAGCGGCTCAAGAAGGAGTGCAGGACGGAGGCCTGGCAGAGCGGCAGAGCTCGGCTGTAAGGCAGCCCCACGCCCGGAGGCAAGCGGGGTAACAGGCAGCACCAGCGTATCGCTGAGCAAACAAGCACAGCCAATATTTGCGAGGTGGGCCGGGAGTCCATCTGTGTTTGGCTTTCCTGTGCAATCAAGGTAAAAGCGTCATAAATATAAGAGTGCAGGAAATGGATGCGCATTTGCTCTGAACGCAGGGGATGCGAGGTGCTCGCTCAGCGGACGGCGCCCATGCATTGTGGAAGCAACCACTGACCCTGAAGGTGGAGGGGGGGGGGGGAAGACAGAAACGCAAAGCTACGGCCGGCTAGTCGACGCCGCAGAACCCTTTGTTCCACTCCAGCACTGCCCACGTGACCATTTAAGGAGGTTAAAGACCCAGTTCTGGTTAAATGGGTCGTTAGTGGAGGCTGGAGGCGTAAAGGAGGAGAATATGTGTGCGGCTAAGGCCCCGAGGAGCATCTAGCAGGAGTGTCTTCATGACACACTGGGGGATTCAAGGCTGAAAACAGGATTTTGTTCTGGGCTGTGGGGGGGGGGGGGGGCTGTGCTTCTTGCTTCTGTAATAACTGCATGAAAATCGCTACTTTTCAACACCAGCACTTCTCAAAGCAAAGTGTGAGGGTTCAGAATGAAGACGGAGTCGGAGAGAGCCGTGTGCCAGCGAAGTCCGGGGAAATATCAGATTTAAAGAGAAACAGGATGGACGGCAGAATGAGAGGATGAAACATACGGAGCCTCAGCTCTCACTCCAAGGATGTACCAGAGTGAGGTTCCCAAAGCCATCGCTCCCCTAGGCTACAGATCCCTTAGACAAACGGAAGCGGCAGAGAGAGGAGATCCTGGCCCGGCATCCTCCTGCATCGGTCCCCTGCAGCGGGTCTCCAGGCCCAGCAGCGCTTACAGAATTTCCATTTGACGTTAACGCTCTGCGTGACAATGTCACACAATCCCCAAGTGCAACCAAGAGACACCGAGATAAAATCAACAGTACAGGCCCCGAGTTTCCCAGGGCCACCTGGGGGCGGCCTGCTGGCTCATCACTCATCAGCAGTCACTGCTGTCACCCGAGAGCTTTGGCGGCATTAAACAGAGGGACCGCCGACTGGGACACGACCCCACTTTGGGTGATGATGTGAGCTGCCCTCTAATGAGCAGCATGAGTATGGAAGTGCGGGAACGGGGTCGCAACATTAGGGGACTCAAACCTACCAGTGCTGGAGTCTAAGCAGCTGCTTGTTACCCAGCATGCAGCTCTCCGCCTCAGCCAGCCTGGAGCTCCTGTATCGATTTCTACTTCCTTCCTGAATTTTGGCTGCAATTTCATCGGATGCATGAGGGAGAGCAGTGAGAGCGGCGTGGCGGCTGAGCCACTCTGATATGACCTGCTTGTTTTATTAGGATATTGACTGGCGTTCAAGCAGCTTTACGACAGGAATTTACCTGTAATTGCACTATTGATCCTGCCTCCCTCTGGACACCTGAATGAAGGCATCAGTAAGGCTGCGGGCTCCCAGCCGGAGAGGCTCCTCCTTCTCCAAAGACGCCTCTCGCACTCAATCGTGTGCATAATGTTTAAAAATCCTTTGAGTGGATTTATGAAAGAAAGCCTTAATTAATTAGCAATCATTAAGGTCTGACGCGCTGTATATCATGCGACATTCACCCAAACGGCCGCCTTTGCTCTCATCAGCAGAGTACAAACCTTGCTGCCACTTCTCTCGGCGTATCAGCGGTGACCCCCTCCCCCAAGCTGAAAACCTTTCTTGGAAAATGTCCTGTCAGACTGGCCCATTGAGGGGTGTTTGTGATGGAGACACTGGCAGGTTTATGGAAAGGGAATTATCGGGGATCATCCTGGAACTGACTGAGACTGGATCCCTAACTGGGCGCTAACTCAGTTCCCACCACCGATGGCAACATCTGGCCAAAACAGATGCAGCTGGAAAAGCTGAACTCTTCTTGTACTCTTGCACTCAAACTGAACTACCTAATTAGGCTCTTTACCACCATTAATGAATACGGGAAAATAAAAAAGATTTGCTAAGCAGCCAGATAGTCACGAAGAAACATCCCAGTGTGATCAGGCAGACTTCATCCCCACATAACTCATCAGCATCGGGTTTTTGTGCGAACCTCAGCCGAGATAAAAATGTCTACGTGCCTCAGTCTGTTCCACAGAAGAACATCTGCTGAGGAGAGCTGAGCCTGCTCTGCTAAATGGCCTCTATATTTAGGGACCGAACGTGATGAAGAGAAAGGGCTCTCAGGGGATGAAGGACATTAAAATAGCAGGAGCTATTTTCCCAGTGTGGCCTTCTTCACGACGAACAGATTTGGCTCAATCACTTCAAAACCTGTTTTTGTAGAGGTCACCGCATAAACAGCTTTTGGGCTTACATACAAGAGAGAAATGGAAAATAAAGGTTTTCTAAAATGTGTGTCACAAATCCTTTACTTTGTCCCAGGGGACCTCACTGCAGGAGGACTGCCTTACTGTAAATGTAAGCCATCATTCTACCTGACTGCTGATGTTCAGGGCTAAAAACCATAAAATTCACGAATACTCTGTGATCTGGATTGAAGAGTATGACAGAAACACGAAAATCAATGCCTTGGACCCCTTATGACTAGCAGAGTGAACCAAGACCAAGAGCAGCAGGGAGAACCAAGACTGACCTGATCGCAGTGGAGGAGCAGGGAGAACCAAGACTGACCTGAACCTAGAGGAGCAGCAGGGAGGACCAAGACTGACCTGATCGCAGTGGAGGAGCAGGGAGAACCAAGACTGACCTGAACCTAGAGGAGCAGCAGGGAGGACCAAGACTGACACGACCCAAGAGGAGCAGCAAGGAGGACGAAGACTGACCTGTCCCTGAGACGCAGCAGGAAGGACTGAGACTGACCTAACCCTGAGAAGCAGCAGGAAAGATGCCTATTAAGCAGGCTCCTCTTTGTCTACACAGCCTCTGTCCTTTACAGGACCTGCCTTGCTGCTTTCTGCCTACAGAGACAGTTTTACAAGCTGCATGTAATCAGTAATAAACACTTCCTCCATCTGTTTCCTTTTTAGTTAATTAACTGACCTCTGAACATCTAAGTATGTTTAGTAGATAAAGCCTCTCAAGGAAGGGCGAACAACGTGGAAGCACTAGGGACACACTCCCTATCCTACACTCCATGCCCCCCCAAATACATCACTGTGCCCTAGTCAGATGAAGCCGGACAGTCGCGATGACATCATGCTGTCCAGAGATCCAAAAGATTGTCAGCAAACTGAATTCTATTTCAAAAGACTACAGTCATACAAATATGATTACATATACCTGCCTTTCTCTCCCGATCTGAATTATACACAGATACAACGGGTTCTCTGCTCCACAGCATAAAATCAATGATAAATGTCAGTCAATATCATTAAAACCAAAAATTACCCAAATGATCCAGGAAAATCCCAGTTTGGCATTTAAAGTTTCTGCTTCATTCACAGCTTTGATTTGTTAAACATCTAATTCTAAATACAACTCTCTCTCTACCTGATTTCTCCACTGATGTCTATTGTGTTGCACGTTGAACAAGGACTTCGATCTACAGCTGTTTTTCCCTCCACTGTCGCCCTCTTGTGGCCACTTCAGAGGAACATCTGCAAAGGTCCTTCCCTGCTCCAGGACACACATCATCAGTTTCAAAGTATAGTACGTACTGTAATATGTGGCAGTTCTGCGACGCACATCAGCAGTTATGTGTTCAAAAACCAATCTCTGTCTCAGCTAAACCCTCTGTCGTCACGCAGCCACAGAACAGCACGCAGCAGTACTGATCTCTGACACAGCAGAGTCGTCTGTTAATTACAGATGATTAGGCCACTCTAATAATTAAAGGCTTCATTTTCCACCTGGCTTACGTGTTGGTGACACTATCACACTGGTGACACTAATCGTGTTTAGGTCAGTAATAGCTTCCATTGGTTTTTACAGCCCAAAGATATGATGCATTTATGCAACGTTTGCACAACCTACGTCTCTATTCAACCAACGTTTTAATGAGCAACACGTCTGAAAAGCAGCATCAGCATGTGGAAGTGGAGTGAGTTTTGTCCACTGAGCTGAAGATGGGGTCAGTGTACTGCGCTCTGGGGCTGCCCAGCCTCTCCTCACTGACCTGGGACCAGCCACATACTTGGGGAGATGAATGAATGACCTGGACGAAGGTCCCCTTCTTAAAACACACTTTCTGTTGCACCAGCTATCCCTAGGTGTTTAACAGTCCACCCTCACTTAGAAAGAGCCCCCCCCCAGGGCTATTTCTTACTGCTGCGAGCTGATTGGTCGACACTGTGACCGGTCTAGGCTGCCATTAACAGCTCACCTCTGTATTGATCAGCCTGAGTGAGCAACTCTATAAACACCCTCACCGGACTGCTGGGAGAGCCACTAACAATGTGGCTTCTCTCTCCCAGCAGGGATTTATAGCAGGGCTCACATTCTGCATGCCCCCCCCCCCCGCCTCAGAGCTGCAGCCGTGGGCTGGTATCGGCCCAGTTTCTGGTTTTGCCCTCTGCTTTATCAGGGACAGACACCAGTGAGTTCTGATTAGCCAGTCAAATTAGGGAGCTGGATTATGAAGCAGCTGCGAAGAGTCAAATTCTGCAAGCTCTGCGGATGATTCGGCACGCACGTACTGAGCATGCTCCTCATTACCGCGGCACAACAGAAAGCGAGGATGTCGGTGAACCAGAGGACATGTGTGCGCCGGCTGGCGAGCGCCACGCTGTTTTGGGGCCGGTCCGCCAGCGGGGAGGGCGTTGGCAAGGTCACCAGTGCAGGGAGCAGAGGCCGAGCTAGATGCTGCAAATCTGAGATAAAGGGGATCTGGGAGGAAACATGGCACACAGACGACAGCACAGGAGACAGCACAGGCCAGGACTGTGCGCTTGCTTCAGTAAAGCAGGATTTCATAAAGCAGCAAGAAACTGTGGGAAAAACAGTCAAACATCAATCAAACACAGTAACTAAAGAATAGCCACTTGGCGGCATTCCAGCATGATGCTCGTACACCTGAGCGTCACGTGACCGATGGGGACCACTGCCAGCCGCAGATAACAGGCTCGGCGTGTCACACAGCGTGCTCAAGGCTCATTTTACCCACAAAGACACAACGGCCTTGAAGAATCAAGACTGCACCTCATGACGACTTAGAACTCAACAATAGTTTAACAAAAGCTCCAGAACTCATGTTAACCTGTGTCAACAGGACATTAAAGTGTCCCATCTCGCTGAACATAGAACCATTTGACAACGGGAAACTTATAGCCCCCCTGCTGTCCTTCAGGGCACCTCCCATTTGATGCCACACCCAAATTCGAGAGGCCTGCTAATAGGCTTTCTGCGGGGTGTCTGTTGGAAAGGGAATTTAACCACAGAGCCACTAGCTTCCGGTAAAGCTGGCGGATATCTGCACAGTCAGGTCTCCACATAACTGCTGAGAGATCCTCTCA